GGTCGTTCCCGCGATCCTCCGCCGCTCACGCCTCGGCAGACTCTGGGGGACCGACCTCGGAAGCCGAGCTGGAGGCCGCCGGCCACTCCTGCTCGGCTGGGCCTCAGTTTTCAGGGGGCATGGCATGCGCCCCCACACCGGGTTCCCTGAGCGAGGGACTCAGCCCCTCCTCCCCCAGGGGAGGGACTAGAGCAAAAAGGGGTAACTTACGGAGAAAGGGGGCCCCCGCCCGTAGCCACAAGGGCATGGGAGGAGAGGGAGGAGAGGACATAAGAAAGAAAGGAGACGAGAGGGGAGGGGGAGCGGGAGGATGAGGGGAAAGGAAGGGGGCTGGGTACGGAGAGGAGCGAAGAGGGAAAGAAGGAAGGATAGGGGGGAGGAGGGAGAGCGTGGCCATCCTCCGCAGCTGTGGTCTCGGGGGGTCGAATGTCATTCAAAGCTAGACTCGCCCTATCCAGGGGCTGACAGAACAGCGTTGGCTTCTCGTATGAGTCCGGCGTCCTCGGACGGGAGGGCAGACGAGCAGCGGAATCCTAGACTTCGTATGGGATGCAGCGAGGAGACAGCGAGAAAAGCGAAGGGCGCCAACCTAGACGTATGATTGTATACCCGCACGTGCATGTGAGACGACCAGGACGAAACGGAGAAAGGCAGACAGAAGGGCGGACGGACAGAGACACAAAAAGAGGCTCAGTAGCAGAGAAACAAAGCGGCCAAGACACATAGAGACGGAAAGACGGATATACCGAGAGACCCACGCACAGATAGACAGAGAAGAAGTGAGAAAGAGAGAGATAGAGGCGTGGGAAAAAAAACTGAGGCATAGAGATACAAACAGGCAGGAGCGAGTCCTGCTCGTCCTCCTCCTCCTCCTCCTCCTCCTCCTCGTCCTCCTCCTCATGTTCCATCCCCGTCTCCTCTACCCCCATCTTCCTCCTCCTCCTCCTCCTCATGTTCCTCCTCCTCTTCCTCCTGCTCCTCCTCTTCCTCCTCCTCCTCAGTTTCCTCCTCCTCCTCCACCTCTTCCTCACCATCCTCCTCCTCCTCCTCTTCCTCCTCTTCCTCCTCCTCGACTTCCGCCTCCTCCTCCTCCTCGGCCTCCTCTGCTTCCCCCTCCCTTCTCCTCCGACCTCATTATGATCCTCCTCCTCCAGTATTCTGGAAGAGTCTTGCCAGAACGCGCTCTGAAGAATCACCGAAGCTGCTCCCCTGGCCATCATCGTACTTCTGATCAACCCAACGTCCTTCGGGTCCACGCCTCCTCCTCCTCGTCCTCCTCCTCCTCCTCCTCCCCCTCCTCCCCCTCCTCCTCCTCCGTCTCCTCTTCCTCCTCCCCCCCCCATCTCTTACGTTAGACCGACCTATGGTTTCCCTGCGGCGTTCTTGAGATGCAACAAAGGAGCAATAGAGTACGACTCGGGTCAAGGTGCACGTGGCGGGCGCCGCGGAGAATGAAAAAAGTAAAGGTGAGGCCAAGAGAAATAAAAAGAGCAGGCGCCCGCCAGGCCCTCGAGGTTGGCACTAACCTCAGTGACCAAGTACCCCCCCCCATCAGTAACTAAGACCCATCCCCCTAATCTGTTCATTGGTAATGCCTCCCCAGATGGCATGTAGCAGCAAAAAGAGAATGCAAAGAGTGACGCAGTGTCGGCGGCAGTGTCGATAGCTGCGCCAAGCCAAGTGTTGCTGCTAGGACATGCAGCATGTATCCCTTAATGGCAAGACCCACCTCTTCCTCGATGTATAACCCTCTAACCCCCGTCCTGGTAGCAGTGTTTGGGGTGCTGCCCATGCTGCGTAGTCAAAAGAGAGGTGCAGTATACGCCACTGCAGGCTTGCATTGTACAATGGTCCCTCTCTGCCAGCAGCAAGCCCGCTCTTCGTGCCAGCAGTAGGCCCACACTTCGGCTCCTAAACGGAAAGGGGACACCTTCACTGTTTTTTTGTTGCCAGGACTGTGACGGGTGGCATGTGGGAATGAGGTGAGAAGGTAGGACGGGTATGCTGCAAAGGCTGGCCTCTGCAGGCTGGCCCGTATATCGCGTGAAATAAAAGATGTGGTTCATCTATATATATATATATGTGTATAGATATATAAAGATACATATATATATATATATATATATATATACATATATATATATATGTGTGCGTGTGTGTGTGTGTCGCAGCAAAGGCTGGCCTGTGCAGGCTGGCATGTATGCTTGAAGTACATCTAGCGAGCGTGCCCTTGCTGTGGGCCAGGGTATTCTGGTTGGCACGAAGCCGTCGGGGTCTAATGTGGCTAACCAGAGGGGTAAGCGGAGTACGGGCCAGAGAAAAAGAAGAAACTGCGGCTGACAGGTAATACTGCTGCAGCGAAGTATGCAGCGTGTGCGCCACAACCGTGTACGTGGGCAAGTTGCTCACGTGTGCGGCTGTGGGACATAGAGAAACCCAGCCTGTATGCACTTATGTGTAGACTTGCCCGCGTTGTGGGCACGGGGGTTCTGGCTGATCCTAAACCGTCGCAAGCAAGAACAACGTGAGGCAAGCTGCATGTACGGCACGTTGCCAAAATATGATGTTTGCAGCGTCTGCTGGCAATTGACATGGCCGTAAACTATTGCACGAACAGTGGGCAGGGATTTCTGACTGACCCCGAACCGTCGAGGCTGAGAGAGGCGTACCACCGACATGTCAGGAGAGCGGGCGGGTGTAGGCAGCACAGGTAATGGTAGTAAAGGGGTAAGCAAAGTACAGACCAGAAAAAAAGGAAGTGCGATTGGCAAGCAATACTGCGGCAAGGAGGCGTGCAGCTTGCGCACCACAACCGTGCACGTGCGCAAGTTGCCCACGTGCACGGTTGCGCAACAAGAAGAAAGCAAGCCTGTATGCACTTATGTGTAGATTTGCCCGCGTTGTGGGCATGAGTTTTCTGGGTGATCCTAAACCCTCGCGAGCAAGAACAGCGTGAAGCAAGCTGCATTTACGGCAAGTTACCAGGACGTGCTGTGACTGCTGGCAAGTGGCACGGCCACAAACTATGCCCGAGCTGTGGGCAGGGGTTTCTGCTTGACCCCGAACAGTCGAAGCTGAGAGAGGCGTACTACCAGCATGTCAAGAGAACGGGAGGGCGCAGGCAACAACATTATGTAGGAAGAAGGAGGTACAGCAATTGACGTAAGATTCGGTCGGCATGCAATGGAGATGGCGGCACGCATGGCTCATTAAGGGGGTTGCACCCTCACTGAGGACCCAAGTGCGCACAGCGTGCTGGCTGGAAAACGAGGGTGCCCTGTAACAGGGCCCCTCACATGTAGCTAGCAATGCTTGGGCTGCGGCCCAGGGTTTTCAAAGCGGGCCCCAAACCTGCATGCACGATTGAAAGTGAGGAGCCACCAGCGCGTCGGAACAGCGCGTCGGAGGGCCAGGGGGTGTAAGGCGCATCAGTGGAAAAGGGACGGCTGAAACAGGAGAGTCGGCATCTGTGTATCCATGGCTGCGCACTGTGCGACTAGAGAGAAGTCTCAATTGATGTTCTCCTGCGGTCATAGAAGAGGTACGGGTACTAGGTGTCAATGTCGCGGAAGGCTGCTACCGTTGTGTGCTTAGTCCATAGTTTGGCCTGTGTCGTTTAGGCATATGCTTGGGCGGGGGGCTCTTTGAAAGGTACTCCCGTTTGGAGGTCATGGAGACTGTTGATGTAGATCTCGTAGCGCGTCTGGTGTGAGCGGAGCCTGTCGATGTAGTCTTGGAAGGTCGGGTCTCCTGTGTTGTTGACGAAGATGATGCGTCGGCTGCAGATGAGAATGTGCTGCTCTCCTCTTCTCGCTGCTGCGCTGTGTGCTGCGATGGCTTGTGCTGCGTGGGTCGGAGAGTAGGTGTGCAGGGTGGCATACGTTTGTGGAGCCATGTTTTTGAGAGGTACCTCCTGTAGCCGTCCTCCTCCACCTCCTCCTCCTCCTCCGAGTGCCCTCGCCACTCCCCTGGTCTTCCACCTCCTCCTCCTCCTCCTCCTACTCCTCCTCCTCCTCCTCCTCCTCCTCCTCCTCCTCCTCCTCCTCCTCCTCCTCCTCCTCCTCTCCTCCTCCTCCTCCTCCTCCTCCTCCTCCCCTCCTCCTCCTCCTCCTCCTCCTCCTCCTCCACCTCCTCCTCCTCATCCGTGTGCCCTTGTCACTCCCCTGGTCTTCCACCTCCTCCTCCCTCCTCCTCCTCCTCCTCCTCCTACTCCTCCTCCTCCTCCTCCTCCTCCTCCTCCTCCTCCTCCTCCTCCTACTCCTCGTCCTTCCACCCCCTTACATACAGAGCGTTTTTGGTGCGTCCTTGAAGCCTGTTGGCGGCCACTCGGAATGCTCTTGGGGCAGTTGTGGGCTCCTCTCAGCGGCCGTTTTGGAGCAGCTTTGGCCTTTTGGGGGCCTCTTGGAGCCCTCTTGGGGCCTCTTGCGGGACTCTTGGGCCCTTCTGGGAGTCTTGGGGCGGAAGCCTCGGATTTTCGGCCCCTGCCCCCCACCCTCTGGGGCCCCTCTTGGGGCCGTCTTCGGGCCCTGTTGGACCGTCTTAGGGCCCTCTTGGGCCGGCGTGGGGCGATCTTGGGGGCCTCTTGGGCCGTCTTGAGGCGGTCTTGGGGGCCTCTCGTCCGTCTTGGAGCGTCGGAATCCGGAACAACAAAAAAAAAAAACAAAAAAAAAACATGATGTTTGCCTGTTGCAGCCCTCTTGGGAAAGGTATTGTGGCTCTCTCAGAGGGCAACCAAGGTTTCTTGAGGCGTCTGGAGGACATCTTGGGCGTGTGTGATGCAAGCGTCGACGAAGCGGCGGCAGGCGCCCACTGCGCGAAAGCCGAAAAGGCAACCACCGCACGAGGCGGCAAGGAGGCGGCGACTGGCGCCCCCCGCACGAGAGCCCAGAAAAGAAACCTCCCAAAATTCGCCGACGCGAACAAAAACGTTGGTGGAGGAAGGGGGAGGAGCAGTGAGGACGAGGGAGGGGGCGAGGAGGACAAGCAGGACGAGGACCTACCCGCGTCCTCCGCCACCTCGAGGGCGTCCCGCTGAAGGCAGGTCGCTGGGTCCACAAGCTCCAGGTTGGCCTGGCTGTGGGACCAAAGGCATAGAGTGGCAAGACAGCAGCTTGACTCGCGGGCCATGATAGGCGACGTATCCGCAGCGGTCGCGTTGGTTGCTGGGCGGCTTCCAGATTGCAGGGGCTGCGAAGGCCCAGCTAGGGCCACCGCTCCAAGTGGGGGGGAGAAGGGGCCCTGAAACCAGAAGCCTCGTCGGGCGAGAGGGCGGGCGTGGAATGCACGGAATACCTGTATGGAATACAGAGATACACGAAGTACAAGTAGGGGATGAAATAGCACGCGTTCTTTCATTTTACGGGGGCCAGGGCGCGCCCGTCACCTGCGCGCCAGGTGACTCAAGGGCCCTTGTGGGCCACAACGGCGGCACACAAGGGCGCACAGAGAGAGGCGAAGGAGCAGGAGAGACTGACATGGGCATGACAACCACAGATCCTACCTGTCTTGCAGCCGAAACGCCGCCTCGCCTCAGTCCGTAAGCTTCCGCTTATACTAATCGAAGATCAAAGCCACTCAGATCCCGCAGCCATCTCACGCAGTCCCAAAGAGTCTGTGACGCACAGCCGGCACGGCTACACAAATACGTAGGCCTTGAGAACGTCTCTAGGAGAGCTCCACGAAGGGATTGTCCGATCCTGGCTCCACGATGAGATATCCAGATCCTGCTTCGTCCGCAGTTTGCCCCATCTCGCCAATGAAACTCTGCGGCTCGATCCCGCGGGGGTCGCACTGGTAGCCAGTTCGCCCCACGTAACGGACTGCTGCACTGAGCTCTTTGGTCGATTGAGGAACCCATCTCTCGCGACTGGGATCAGCTTGATCTCGAGAATCGTCATGTCGGGGCCCTCGATCTTCTTGTCCGAGCACGCGTCGACGCCCGGGAACGCGGCGGGGATGGCCCGCGCCGCAAGATGCATCCTGACTGTGCGATTCCAAAGCCTATACCATCCAAAGACTTGCTGCTTCGCCTGCACCTCGCCCCGGATCCCCCTCATCGTCGCAACGTGGATCCAGAGTTGGGCGACGTAGGTACTGCCGTCGGTTTGGCACCACTGGTTGTGGACATGCATCTTGGGATAACCTGCACGGAGGTCGCGGCCCACCTGCAACTCGAAAACGCACGAGTAGAGACTCATCTCGGGGCCGGCGTCGGCCGACAGGTGCACAACGCAGCGATCGCAGGAAGTACGGCGATGCGCCCTTCACAGAAGACGCCGAAGATGTTGCCCGCGCTCGAAGGTCCCTGCATCAGCCTGACCAGGCCTTCCTTGCTCCATATAGAAGCAGGTGCTGCCAAGTCGGCACCGCGGTAGGCGATCTGGACGTCGGCCTCTGGTTTGCCGAGCTTCCTATACTGCTGCATCTACCTGGGGCGCGCCATTGCCACATCCATAAACTACCGCTGCCCAGTGGGGCGCGCACTTGGACCCTGCACAGGAGGGCCCTCGATGAGCCCCGAGAGGTGCCCACGAGAAAATGAGATCCCTCGGCCACTCGAGCACCCCAGAATGAACCTCCGGAACCTAGGCGCCCAAACACTAGTAGTGAAAGAGAGCGTCGAGCAGATGGCCCCTCACCACGTCGACCTTGGTACATGCATTCCAGTTGCAGCTCATCATCTTGTCGCAAGAAAACGCGTGTTCCTGGACAGCTGGACGGCCTTCCTCCACTTGATGCAGCGGTCTTCGGGTCCGAGGAGTTCCTGGCCCTTTTCTGCTGGAGAGCCCCCACTCGCCAGAGCGGAGACATACTCGTCGATGGCCATCACTGCCTTCATGGCCTCATCGATGGCTTCCCCAGCTGGTGGAGCGCTCTACGTATCCTTCGAGAACTCCCACAGCGCCTGACAACTCGCCGCAGTCTTCCAGAAAGCGCGTAAGCTCTTCTTTCTGGTCGTTCTCGCCACAGATTCTGATCTGACCAATTATCTCCTCGAGAGAACCCTCGCCGTCTTTCGCCAACTCCCCCCAGCTGTCGTTGATAAACTTCTTCTCCTCCTGAAATAAGGACCACAGGCTCCTGCCAATCTTCAGGAGTTCGTTGACGTTCATGCCGATGCCGTGGACGATAACCAGCGCTGCGGAGCAATCTGGTAGGTCGCTGAAGTTCCTCCAAGCGAACGCCGACGCTGGGAGAGCAGTCGCGGGGCCCTCGATCTCGGCCTCTGTGCGCGCCTGAAGTGCGCATTCAGAGGCACGCAATCACCGTTCTCGACTGCTGTCATCAGGTAGTGCACCATCATAACTATTGCACGACTTCATCTCGGGCACCGATGCTGCACGGCCATCGTCTCCGACAGGGGGGCATTGAAGGCAGCGTTCCGAGCGCGGGTCTTCAGCGCCAAGTCGTAGATCGCGTCGCCGGTCCACCAGTGTCCATTTTTCTCCTTCGCGTCGGACGGCTCGTCCTGCGTCGCCTGGTCCGCGTCTACACCCTGACCATCCACCGTCTTCTCCTTCGCCACGTCTTGCTTCATGCGCAGATTCTATTTCTTCTCCACCGTCGCCACGCAGCGCAGCGGCTGCCCACATGCGGGCAGTACGTCCGGTAGCCGAAGAAAGTCGAACATGTCGATCCAGGCACGGCGCCCGTCTCCGGCCAGAAATCCCCGATTCCAAACACCTTGGTACTCCACCCCACCGCGACAACGCCCGTGCAGTCCATGTACCTTGGGACGTTCCAGGAGGATGGCCCCGTAGTCCCTGCGAGATGGGATCACGATCTTCGCCAGGTTGCCCAGGGAAACGCAGTCCAGCTTCTTCCTCGAGCCCCCGACATCTGGCGGCGCAGTCGACGTCCAGGTTCCGCATGTAGGCAACGCCCATATCCCTCCGGTCGATCCCTCCCCCTGGGGTAGCGACCACATGCGAGAAGCTCACCCCGGTGCTCCGACGATGGATCAGGACGCCGACGCCGCCGCGCTCGTCGGGGGCCAAAATGTAGACACCGACGATCCCGACGTACGTCGGCCTCGGGAGTAACGGCTTGTCGTCGCGCGTCGGCGCCTCCTCGACTGTCTCCCCGGCCGCGTCGTCGGCGAAAACTGCTCAGCATGAGGGCGCTGCCCTGGCGAGGAAGCAGCAACAAATATTTTGGATCCTCTCGCTGCTTGAGCTTCATCTGCAGCCAGCTTCCGGGGCGGCCCTGGCGTCTTGGACTGCTCCTCTTCTTGCGCTTCCAGCTTCTACATCGGCCAAGCCTTCGGCCAGGGGCCTCTTCTCCAGGCAGGCTTCGTAGGGCATCTCAGGCTAAAGCGAGAATTCACCAGCGGGGTCGTCACCAGATGCTGCACCAGGTGGTCCGCCAGTGGGGCCCCCCCCCTGCCCGCCGTCGCCCTCGCTCGGGCCCTCGCCCTCGACGTCCTCGGCCGGCGCAGCCTAGCGCTTGATCCGTTTACCCCAGGGCGCGCGGCCGAGGCCCTCCCCAGTCGGCCCCCGAAGTCCCCCCGAGGCATCCGCCGTTTCCCCCGCGTCCGCCACCATGCTGAAGTTGCTCCTCTTGTCCTTCAGGGCGCACCTGACCCCGGCGGAGTCGCACTCGAAACTGCCTCTTGAAGTAGCGGTTCCAGGAAGCCCAGGTGTGAAAGTTGCATGAGGAATGCGCGAGCAGGTTGATTCTGGCACGCTGCATGCGTTGCATATCCGAACGCACCGCGAACCTGCAGAGGAAAGTCGACACTCCCTCAGCGTAGTTGGCCTTTTCTGCAGCTTCGGTGTCGAACACCTCCGCGTCTTTGTGCTCAAGTGCCTCAAGTTGACGTCGGGCGTAGACGAATCCGTTCTCCACCTCACCTCGCTGCTTGATCAGCACTTTCTTGGCCTGCTGCAGCTCAAGGTGCCACTCTAGCTTGAGCCGTGGAGACTCAGCTCGGGCGTCGCCCCCCTCCTCCTGCAGCTTGATGATCCTGGTCCGGCGGCAAGCCGCACCACCATCGACGTCCTCCATCTGGTCGGAAACCAGCTCCAAGCGGCGCACCTCCAGCTCGACTTTTTGGGTCGTGACCATTAAAGAATCCAACGCGTGCCCTATTTGGCACCGAATCGGATGGCATCCACTCCATCGGGGCGGACTCAGCGAGCCCGAGGCAGTTGACGTGCTCCTCGAGGGTCTTGTTACACTCGCCGACTCACGGCACCCTCTTCGCCTACTCGCTTCGGCGCTGCATGATCTCTTCACCCAACTTCTCCATCTACTCATATCTGCGCTGCTCGGCCTCGGATGACAGATTCTCCTTGTCGACATGCTCCATGGGCATCATGCTCACTACGTCACTGTCGCCGCCGTCGCGGACGATGATTCCTTGGCCCGCGGGGTCAAGGCGGCCCAGGGAGCACGGGTTCCGCACGGTGGTGGGATGGACCTGCGCGGCTCGCCACGCAGCCCCTCGTCGACCTCCGCAGTTCCCGCGCCGCCAAGGCCCGCGGGATCTTGGAAGCTCGCGCCTGGGCGACGCCCCATCCAGCGCCCTCTGAAAGAAGTCTCGGGCTATCTCGCGCACCTCACGAGTTCCCCTTTCTCGTCGAAGTTCGCGAAAGAGAGACGCGCCGGGGCGATCTTGAAGGGGGCGCAGCTGGCGCTGTGCTTTCAGCGGACGAGGCGAAAGCCTGATTTACAAAGCTTTGAGGATCAGCCCAGGGGCCATCGGCCGCTGCAGTCGGAAAGCCACTTGAGCTGACTTCATTTTCGCCCACCCTGTCATCGTATTCCTCGCAGTCGTAAGAAGCGTCGCCCATGGCGTCGCCGTCGAAGTCCACCTGCTCACCCTGCTCTCCTCCCGAGGCTGGCGGGTCGTCGAGCAGATGAACCAGGGATCCAAACACTGGGCCCCCTGGCGACATGGCTCCGCAGGCAGGGGAGATCCCAACCACAAAGCCACAATCGCAAGCTGTAAACGGCGAAACCTCATGACATACTGACACATCCACTGCACGATGAAGGCAACAGAAGAAATCACACGTCGAAAGAGCTGACTCGGCAACGCGCGGGGTAGAAGGGGTGGGGCGCTTCGG